CAAACCCCTCCTGGGGGTGAGGGTGAGGGGGAGGGTTTGGGGTTTGTGGGGTGGGGGAGGGTTTAGGGGAGAGGGTTTGGAGGGAGGTGTTCGGATGTGCCAGGGGGATAGGGTTTAGGGTTTAGGGTTTGGGGGAGAGTAGGGTTTAGGATTTAGGGTTTGGGAATTAGGGTTTAGGGTTTGGGGCGTGTGTGGCGTGCGCTTCTGCGGCTTTCCCGCGCCCGTGCTTGTGAGGGTTTAGGGTTTGCGGGAGGCTTTAAATGAACAACTAAACGCCTAGGGTTTAGGGTTTAGGAATTAGGGTTTAGGGTTTAGGGTTTAGGGTTTAGGGTTTGGGGTGTTTGCTGCAGCAACTACAAAGCTGTGCGGGGGGTTTGGGATTTGCAGCCAGTGAAGAACCGGCAGCGGAAGCGCAGCAAATATGGCTGCAAAATGAGTGCAGAGAAGCAGCAGCAGCAGCAGCAGCAGCAGCAGCAGCGGCACTTAGCAGCAGCAGCAGATGTTTGCTTCTTCAACCAGTTCAAAAGGTTTACTTGGAAAGACACAAACCACAAACCCTCGCCAGAACTCATCCTAAACCCTCAAGATCTTCCCAGAGATGCAAACCACTTCAACAAGTGGTTTAGACTCAAAATGCAAAGAAAAGGAGCTGCTGCCTAAACCCTAAACCCTAAATCAGTGGTTTAGACTCAGGATGCGCGGGAAGGGAGCTACTGCCTAAACCCTAAACCCTAAATCAGTGGTTTAGACTCGGGATGCGAGGAAAGGGACCTGCTGCCTAAACCCTAAACCACTTCAACAAGTGGTTTAGACTCAAAATGCAAAGAAAAGGAGCTGCTGCCTAAACCCTAAACCCTAAACCCTAAATCAGTGGTTTAGACTCAGGATGCGAGGAAAGGGACCTGCTGCCTAAACCCTAAACCCTAAACCCTCAGGCAGCTTAAACCCTAAGAGGACCAAACCCAAACAACCCTAAACCCCAGCAGCGCTAAACCCTAAACCCTAGCAGCCCCAAACCCTCGCCCGCAGCAGCTGGGGCTGCAGGAAAGGGTTTAGGGTTTAGGGTTTAGGGTTTAGAGGAGAGCAGCATGTCAACAAACGAACTAAGAGGAACAGCGCCGAAAGTTCCACAGCAGCAGCAGCAGCAGCAGCAGCAGCAGCAGCAGCAGCAGCTGCTGCTGCTGCTGCTGCAGCTGCTGCTGCTGCTGCTGCTAAGGGGAGCTCAGGCGTGAGCAAAAGATCCCTCAGGAACTTAATGCCGCTCTGGCTGGCGGCGAAATTGTTTGGCGCTTTGGCTAGCCATCTAGCTAGCTAGCTAGCTAGCTAGCTAGCTAGCTAGCTGGATAGCTAGCTAGCTAGCTAGCCTGGATGGCTAGCTAGCCAGCGAGATGGCTAGCTAGCTGGCGAGCCAGCTAGCCGGCGAGCTGGGGGGCCAGCTGGACGGCTAGCTAGCCAAGTGGCTAGCTGGCAAACCCCAAAGACAGCCTTGTAGAAAACTAGCTAGCTAGCTAGCTAGCTAGCTAGCTAGCGGCTAGCTAGCTAGCTAGGTAAATAGCTAGCTGCAAAGTCGACGAGCCCGCAGCTTCCCGCCATCGGCTATGTGAGCAGCTCCCTCGCTAGCTGGCTAGCTAGCTAGCCAGTTAGCTAGCTAGCCAGCCAGCTAGCCAGTTAGCTAGCTAGCCAGCTAGCTAGCCAGCTAGCTGGTTACCCAGCCCCAGAACTAGGCAGCTAGCTAGCCATGCTAGTCCGCGTCCAGCCAGCCAGCCACGCAGCCTTCTGGCTAGCTAGCTGCCCCCTCACGCAGCCACCAGCTAGCTAGCCACCTAGCTAGCCACCTAGCTAGCCAGCCAGCTAGCCAGCCAGATAGCCAGCCAGCTAGCCAGCTAGCTAGAGACCTAGCTAGCCGCCTGGCTACGTACCCGGGCGGCTAGCGAGCCACCAGCTAGCCACCAGCCAGCCAGCTAGCCAGCCAGCCAGCTAGCTAGCCAGCTAGCCAGCTAGCTAGCTAGCTAGCTAGCTGGCTAGCTAGCTAGCTAGCTAGCTGAGGGCAGCAGCTTGGGAGTCTGCGTTGGGGTCTTGAATGACCAGCAGCAAATACTCGCCGTCGGGGGCCACCAGAATTTCGTGTTTTTTGGACCTCACCCGCAAGAAGGTCACGTCGTTCTGCGCAAACCCTAAACCCTAAACCCTAAACCCTAAACCCTAAACCCTAAACCCTCGGCGCTCGGCGCTGAGCGCCAGGGCCGCGCGGGGCGCGCTGGCGGGCGCCCGCCCGCCCGCAGCGCCCCCCCAAACCCCAAACCCCAAACCCCAAACCCTAAACCCTAAACCCTAAACCCTAAACCCTACTTGGGGGTCTAAGTCTCGGACGAGGGAGCGGGCGCGGTCTGCGAGTTGTGCTGCTGCTGCAGCATAAGCAGCAGTTTGCTGCTGCCCCAAAGTGGAGCGAAGGATGCAGCCATCAGCAGCAAGAACAATAATGCCTTTAACCCCTTTTCGGGTTTTGATGCGGTTCAGGGTTTCCTCCACTTCCGCCTGAACCCAAACCCTAAACCCTAAACCCTAAACCCTAAACCCTAAACCCTAAACCCTGGGCTCTTGGGACCGGGCGCCGAAGCCCCCGCAGCAGCAGCAACGGACAAGCAGCAACAGCGGCAGCAGCAGCAGCAGCAACTTCGGCGCGCTGCGCGCCAAGGAGGGTTTAGGGTTTAGGGTTTGGGGTTAGGGTTTAGGGTTTAGGGTTTAGGGTTTACGGCGGACCATCTTCTTGGAAGCCTCGGCGAAGACGGGCGCAAAGCTCCTCAGGAAACAGCAGGGGGTCCAAGGGCCCCAGCTAAACCCTAGGGTTTAGGGTCTAGGGTTTTCAGGCCCTAGGGTTTAGGGTTTAGGGTTTAGGGTTTGGGGTTTGAGAGGGCCTCGAAGCGGGCGTGGACTGCCGGAAGGGCAGCAAATGAGTCAATTGAGGGCAGAAAGCGGCAGAAACAGCATGTGCGAGGGTTTAGGGTTTAGGGTTTAGGGTTTAGGGTTTAGCGTTGGCGAGCTGGCGAAGCCGTTGAAGTTGAATAGCTGTCTGTACACCCCAACGCCCGAATGCTTCTCAAGTTGAAGCTGCCAAAAGTTTCACTTTTTTGTTTAATTGAATTTAATTAAATTCAAATTAATTCAATAAAATGGGATTTCGGATTCAAAACAAAGAAAGGCACCTAAGGGGCCCCCTGCAGCAGCTGCTGCTGCTGCTGCTGCTGCTGCTGCTGCTGGGGGCCCCTGCAAGCAGCACTTGCTGCTGCTTTTCTTTAAGAACTTGTTTGTTGTTTTCTCTTTTTATTTTAATTTAATTATTCTTTTTTCAATTTAAGAAGTTGAAGGAAAAGACCAGGCCCCGACAGCAATGTAGCTGCTGCACGAGGCCCTCAAACCCTAAACCCTAAACCCTAAACCCTCAACCCTCAACCCCAAACCCTAAACCCTTCAATGTGTGCCGGCTAAACTCCTTTCAGCGCCACAGGCCTCCATCTGGGGGCCCCCAAGGGTCCCCACAGTTCTACACAGGCTCTCGCTGGAGCTGCTGGCGAGGGTTTAGGGTTTAGGGTTTAGGGTTTAGGGTTTAGGGTTTGCTTACAGCAGTGCTGCTGCTGCGCCTTTCCCCGATTGCCCCCTGGAGGCGCTGCTGCGGTGTATGTACAGCCCAGGTCTTTTCCCTGGAAGCCCCAGCACCCAAACCCCAAACCCTAAACCCTAAACCCTAAACCCTAAAAAAGGGTTTGAGGCCCCAGCCCGCACAGATGGGGGGAGCCATTTCTAAAATTGTCTTCCAGCCCCCCAGGTACCCTGGGGGCCCCCCGGGGGGCCCCCCGGGGGCCCCTGACCTTATTGCCTTGAAGACAAAAAGTGGGGAGACTATTCACGCAATTCACATCAAAAGGTGAGTCGAGGGTTTAGGGTTTAGGGTTTAGGGTTTAGGGTTTAGGGTTTGAGTCTTTTGGAGGGACCAGGGCTTGTTCTGGTTCCAGCCTTCAGAGGCCAGGGGTTAGGGTTTGGGGTTTAGGGTTTAGGGTTTAGGGTTTAGGGTTTGTCGGTCTCCCCCTGGGTCTCCTCCTTGCCGCAAACGGCTGCGCCTGCCCTCCCCACCTGCTGCTGCTGCTGCTGCTGCTGCTGCTGTTGCTGCTGCTGCTGCTGCTGCTGCTGCTGCTGCAGCGGAGGCTCGTTGACCCTTTTGTATTCCCACGGAAATGCTGAAGACATTTTAATGGCTTTTAGTTTTTTCAAAAGTGTTTCTTCGGCGCTCCAAGTTGACTTGCTGCTTTACGAATACGTCGGTGGGCCTCGAGGGTTTAGGGTTTAGGGTTTAGGGTTTAGGGTTTAGGGTTTGGGGTCGCTGGCTAGGGGCGAGGGCCCAGGGTTTAGGGTTTAGGGTTTAGGGTTTAGGGTTTCCTAAACGCAGTCTCGCCCCAGGGCCCTCCCCGACTTCCTCACATCCACGCGCCCACCCCCGCCGCCGCCGCTGCTGCTGCTGCTGCTGCTGCTGCTGCTGCTGCTGCTGCTGCTGCTGCTGCAGGGTCTGGCCCGAGCGTGCACCTGTGCGCGCGGGAGCGCGTGGGGGGTTTGATCCTGCAGTCAGCTCTGCTGTCTGTACACCGCGTGGCTTTGCGTCTGAGGTTTTCTTTGCCTTTTGATTTATTCAAAAATATAAATAAAATAAAAAAAGTCTTTTGTCCAGTCTTTTGCATTCACGGCACCAACGACGAGGTCGTCCCCCTTTACCACGGCATCGTGCGCCCAAACCCTAAACCCTAAACCCTAAACCCTAAACCCTAAACCCTCGGTTTCGCAGCGCCCGCAGACCTTGGCCAGCAGCAGCGCCGCTGAGGGTTTCGAGGGTTTAGGGTTTGGGCGGCTGCAAGGGAGGCCGCCTCAGGGCTTCGGGCTTGCTAGGGTTTGGGGTTTGCGAGGGTTTAGGGTTTGCGAGGGTTTAGGGTTTGCGAGGGTTTGGGGCGGGCTAGGGTTTGGAGTTCCCGGGGCCGAGGGCTCGCTAGGGTTTAGGGTTTGCTAGGCTTTCGGGTTTTGCAGGGTTTAGGGCATGTGCGGGGCTCGCGTTTGCTAGGGTTTAGGGCTCAGGGTTTGCTAGGGTTTAGGGTTTGCTAGGGTTTAGGGTTTGCTAGGGTTTAGGGCTCGCTAGGGTTTAGGGTTTGCTAGGGTTTGGCTGCTGCAGGAGCTGTACAAGAGGGCCCCCTTGACTGTCAGCCCCATGTGGGTGGAGGGCGCTGGGCATAACAATTTGGAAATAGTGGCAGGAGATTTATTTTTTGTGGCTTTGTCTCGCTTCCTGCGGCTGGTGCAGCAGCAGCAGCAGCAGCAGCAGCTGCAGCAGCAGCTGCAGCAGCAGCAGCAGCAGGAAGAGCAGCAGCAGCCAGTTGCGGCGGTTGTCGCGGCCGCCGAGGGCGCCTGAGGTGTATGTACACCCCGGCGACGCAGCCGCTGCTGCACCCGCGGAAATAAACAATGAGAAAATAAACAAATAAATAAATAAATAAATAAGTAAATAAATAATAAATAAGAAATAAGTTTGTTCTATTGAAGACAAACAGACGTTTAAAGAACTCCAAACCTTTTTAGGAACTTCTTTCCATTTAAGCCACGCATCCAGGTGTCTGTACACCTCAGCAGCGCGCAGCGCGGCGCAGCCCAGGAGCCAAAAGGCCCCGAAATTGACTCGAAATCGACTCGAAATTGACTCAAATAAAAGAATAAATGAAAAATAAATGAAAGTGGAGTTTCAATTAAAATAAATAAACGAATTGGCGACAAAAAGGAGGGAAATACAGCCCAGGGAGCTGTCGATACACCCCGTGGCCCGCGAGGGCTCACTGCAAAAAAACGAAAAAAGGAAAAAGTGCAGTTTTTCTTTACTTTCACCATCTCGCCATTTCTAATAAGTTTCAGCAACTCGAAATGAGTTTAAAAGACCAAAAAAGAATCAAAAAAGGAAATAAAATAAACAATTAATGGCTTTTCTGCATGCGCCTAATGGGTATAAACACGGCGCTACCCGGGAAAATAAACTCCCTACAAAACGCATAGATTCCGAAATAAATGTCCCATTCTGTTTGATTATATGCATATTTCAAATTGAATAAATGTTTTGTTTAAATTTAATTTTTTGTTTTGCGCAAAATGGGCTTTTTCCGAATTCAAAAGAGCCTGCAGCAATTCACGAGGTGTACGTACACCCCACGCCCGCGTGTACATACACCGCCGGATTTGCTTTATTTGTTTTTTCATTTCTTTCGAAAAATAGTCCTTTAAAAGATACAATTATAAAAGACTATTTTCCAGCAAAGAAGTTCCGAAACTAAGTCCTAAACCCTCAAGAAAAATTTGCAAAATTCCGCAAAAAATGTTTTTGGAAAAGTCCGAAACTTCTTGGCTAGCTTGGGCTCGGGTGTACGTACACCCCAGCCCCCTGCAAGCAGCAGCGGACGCCTCAAAGACCCCCAGCAGCAGCAGCAGCACGTTTGCCGCTGCTGCTGCAGCAGCACGTTTGCCGCTGCTGCTGCAGCAGCAGCAGCGCGTTTGCTGCTGGTGCAGCAGCAGCGCAGCAGCAGCGCGTTCGCTGCTCCTGCAGCAGCAGCAGGAGGTTTGCGGTTGCAGCTGCAGCAGCAAAGCAGCAAGTCTGCTGCTGCTGCTGCAGCAGCAGCAGCAGCAGCAGCAGCAGCAGCAAACTAGCGGCGCCGCAGGTGCTTCGTGGCTCGCTCTTCGCCGGGCTTCATGACCCTCCAGACTTGGGGCCTCAAAAAGTGTTTTGCATCTCGAACCCCAAGAGGGTACTTGGGGGGCCCCCCGGGGGGCCCCCCGGGGGGCCCCCCGGGGGCCCCCCGGGGCCCCCGGGGGCCCCTGGGGGGCCCCAGCAGCCGCAGCGCCCGCGCAGCCCGCAGGAGGCCCCCCACCCGGCTCAGGGCCAGGGCCAGGGGGGCCACCTGGCAAAGTCCCAACAGAACTTCTTCTTTTTTGAATTTATTTTCGCAAATAAAAGATCCATTTAAACCATTTGAGAGGCCCCTCGAGTTCACAGGGTACAGCAGCGGCAAAGACACGCGGGCCCGCAGCAGCTGCACAAGCACATCTGCCTTTCCAATCATGCGCACCAAGTTGGGGGCCCCCGGGGGGGCCCCCCGGGGGGGGCCCCTGCGGGGCCCCAGGCGCACCCAGGACCCTCGGGGGCCCCTCAGGGGAGCCCAGGGGGGCCCCTGGAAAGGCGGGGGAAGGCCCGGGGGGCCCCCGGGGGGCCCCCTGGGGGGCCCCCTGGGGGGCCCCCTGGGGCAGGGGCCCCTGGGGGGCCCTCCGGGGCATTGGATGGAACTGCTGGGGGCCCCCGGGGTGAAGAACTTTGCAAAGTATGAAGTTTAATGTTTTAAAAATAAATAAAAATATAAAATCAATACTTTTCAGGGTTTGGAATGCAGGGTTTAGGGTTTAGGGTTTAGGGTTTAGGGGCGGGGGCCCTCGAGCAGGGCCCCAGCTCTGGAGCAGCCGCGGGCTGGGTGGGGCTTATTCTTCTTTAGGGTTTAGGGTTTAGGGTTTAGGGTTTCAAATTTAGGGTTTAGACTTTTTAAACACTTTAAAAGGGTTTTTGTCTCAAGGACTTCATCGCCAAGTAATGCTGAGCGCCGCACGAAACCCTCGAGCCCTGAGCGAGGGTTTAGGGTTTAGGGTTTAGGGTTTAGGGTTTAGGGTTTGCTTTTGCTGCGCATCCTTTCTTACCTGCTCCTTCGCGCCCCTGGCCACCACGAAGGCCCCTAACCACTCCCGCTGCGTGCCTCCAACCCCGGGGTTTAGGGTTTAGGGTTTAGGGTTTAGGGTTTAGGGTTTAGGGTTTCCGATGGTTTGGCCCCTTATATTTCTTGCTGCGGGAGGCGCAGCCTTTGCTGCTCGGGGGGCCCTAAGGGCTGCGCTGCGGTACCGCCGGGGGGCCCCTGGGGGCCCCCTGGGGCCCCCTGGGGGCCCCCCGGGGGCCCCCGGGGGCCCCTCGGGGGGCCCCCTGGGGGGCCCCCCGGGGGGCCCCCAGTGGGTCAATGACTTATTAAAAAGAGCTGCAAATATTAAACAGCAAGTTGAGGCAATGACAAAAGATATGAAGGGTTTTGAGGCCCCCATGACTCGCTCAGAGGCGTACCAGATCTTGAGACTGGGGTAGGGTTTAGGGTTTAGGGTTTAGGGTTTAGGGTTTGGGGTTTAGGGTTTGCGGGGGTAGGCGCGGCCTGGGGGTTGGAATTGGAAGGACGGGCGGGGGAGTCGAGGTAGATTTGGGGTTTAGGGTTTGGGGTTTAGGGTTTGGGGTTTAGGGTTTGGGGTTTAGGGTTTGGGGTTTAGGGTTTGGGGCCTAGGGTTTGGGGTTTAGGGTTTTGTGGGGTGTATGTACACTTCAGGCCGACGGCCTCCAAGGAGAAGATTTTGCAAACTCACAAACAGCTGATGCTGCGGAACCACCCGGACAATGGAGGTGACCTTAGGGTTTAGGGTTTAGGGTTTAGGGTTTAGGGTTTGGGGTTTGCAGTGGGGAGTGGCGGTTGCAGTGAAGTGATTGTGTGGCTTGAGGGTTTAGAGTTCATAGGAAGCGTATGGGGCCTCTGGCTTTTGCTTTTGAGGGTTTAGGGTTTGCAGGGTTGAGGGTTTTCTAGGGTTTAGGGTTTGGGGCTTCTTGGGGTTTAGGGTTTAGGGTTTAGGGTTTGCGGCTGCTCAGGGTCTACCTACGTCGCAGCAAAAGTGAATGAGGCGAAGGAGAAACTGCTGCGGGGATGAAGACTTAGGGTTTAGGGTTTTAGGGTTTAGGGTTTAGGGTTTAGGGTTTGGGACGGTTTGCCCAGCAGGCAGGCGGTGCCGGCTAAGGGCCTCGGTGAATTAGGGTTTAGGGTTTGGGAGGATTTTATTGTTGAAAACATTTTGTTTTTTATTTATTCGCGCCCACTAGCCCGCAGCCATCTTTCTAGGGTTTAGGGTTTAGGGTTTAGGGTTTAGGGTTTGAAGGGATAAACATTTATAGTTTTTAGAGCAGAAGAGACAAATCGCCGAAGCTGTAGGCCGCCTTTCGGGTGCTATGGCTAGCCACAGCTAGCTACAGCTAGCTAGGGTTAGCTACAGCTAGCTACAGCTAGCTAGGGTTAGCTACAGCTATCTACAGCTAGCTACAGCTAGCTACAGCTAGCTACAGCTAGCTACAGCTATCTACAGCTAGCTACAGCTAGCTACAGCTAGCCACAGCTAGCTACAGCTAGCTACAGCTAGCCACAGCTAGCTACAGATAACCACAGCTAGCTGCCGTCAGCTGCGGCTAGCCACAGCTAGCTAGAGTTAGCTACCAGGGGTCCCCTAAAGAGGGGCCCCTGGGGGCCCCCAAATCTGGTACTAGGGGGCCCCTTAGGGCCTTTTAGAGGGGCCCCTGTGGGGCCCCTCAAAACTGAGATCTAGGGGGCCCCCAATAGCCCCTTTTGGGGGCCCCAGGGGCCCCCCATTGCTGCTATTAGGGGGCCCTTAATGGCCTTTTAGGGGGGCCCCTGGGGCCCCTCAAAACTGTGACTTAGGGGGCCCCCAAAGGCCTCTTTTAGGGGCCCCTGGGGCCCCCAAAGCTGCTACTGGGGGGCCCCCCGGGGGCCCCCGGGGGCCCCCGGGGGCTATTCGGGGGCTCTAGTGCCCTCTCAGGGGGGCCCCTTGGGCGTCTGCACTAAGCCTTAAGTGTCTGCTGCTGCTGCTGCTGCAGCTGCTGCTGCTGCTGCTGCAGCAGCTGCTGCTGCAGCTGGAGGAAACAGAGAAAATGAAAATGGAAAAAGATAGAGGAGGGGCGGGTCGGGGGGCCCCACTGAAGTGTATGTACACCTGAGATCCCTGTAAATATTTCGCAGCAAAGAAAAAGGAGGCTTCTCTATCTTCTAGCTTGCTGCTGCTGCTGCTGCTGCTGTTGCTGCTGCTGCGTAGGCATGCAGCCCCAGCAGCAGCAGCAGCAGCAGCAGCAGCAGCAGCCGGGGCCCCCTTTCTTGTAGTAAGATTCTTTTAGTTAATTTTTGTTGTATTTTTCTGGTTTTTAATTCTTTAGAAATTCCAAATGACTCAGCAGATCGAGGCCCCCAAGGGGGGTGAGTTGCTGCTGCTGCTGCTGCTGCTGCTGCTGCTGCTGCTGCTGCTGCAGCTAATGCTGCTGCAACGCGTTGTGTGTTTTTTCTCCCTGCTGTTCCGAAGCGAACTGATCTCCTCACATTCCCTTCCTGCTGCTGCTGCTGCTGTTCCTGCTGCTGCTGCTGCTGTTGCTGCTGCTGCTGCTGCTGTTGCTGCTGCTGCTGCAGCGCCGAAGGCCTCCCGACTTGCTGCTGCAGCACAGAGCCTCAAGAGCTTCGCCTGCAGGACTATTCGGGGCCCCAGCTTCCCCCACTCCGCGCTGTTTGGCGCTGCAGCAGGTGGGCCCCCCAGCAGCACAAACAGCAGCAGCAGCAGCAGCAGCAGCAGCAGCAGCAGCAGCAGCAGCAGCAGCAGCAGCAGCAAGCAGCAAACTAAGTCCGCCGCACAAACTGCAAACAGCAACTACCGCTCGCACCTGCGAGCAGCGGCAACCAACGAGGACCACTGACGACCTCCCCGCTGCTGCCGCTGCCGCTGCCGCTGCTGCTGCTGCTGCTGCTGCTGCTGCTGCTGCTGCTGCTGCTGCTGCAGGGGTGCTGAGTTACGGGGCGTTCTACGGCTACCGGCTCTGCCGCCTCTGCTGCAGCGACACAGAACAGCTTGCTGTTGCTTCTCGCTGGCGCTACTTCGAGAAGCAAAACCTTTTCTTTAAAGAACTTGATGAACAAATTGCTGCGGGGGCCCTCGGGGCCCTCATCAAGGACTACCAGCCCGCAGCAACTCGCCTGCCTTTCCAGCCCTTGTCAGTACCCACATTTCGCCGCTTCGGGGGCCCCTGGGGGCCCCGGGGGGCCCCCTGGGGGCCCCAGGGGGGCCCCCGAGGGGCCCCAGAGGCACGTGGGGGGGCCCCAGGGGGGCCCCGGAGGGCCCCAGAGGCACCTCTGGGGGCCCCTGGGGGCCCCGGAGGGCCCCCGGGGGGGCCCGGAGGCCCCCAGAGGCACCTCTGGGGGCCCCCGGGGGCCCCGGGGGGCCCCCAAGGGTCTTCGGGGGGCCCCTGGGGGGCCCCTGGGGGCTTCTGGGGGCCCCTGGGGGCCCCCGGGGGCCCCCGGGGGCCCCTGGGGGGTTTAGAGGGGCCCCAGAGGGCTCTTTAGGGCGCACTAGGTAGAGAGAGAGGGCCTGGGGGGCCCACAGGGGCCCTTCGGCGAGTTGCTGCTGCTGCTGCTGCTGTTGCTGCTGCTGCTGCTGCTGCTGCTGCGGCTGCGGCTGTTTTCGTTGGTGTTGGGTGTATTTGTCTTTGTATTTATTTATTTATTTGTATAAATAAATAATAAATAAATAAATACATAAATAAATAAATAATTTATTTATAATTTAAATAAATAATTTATTTATGATTTATTATTCTAAACATTTTGGTTAACAATTTATTTACTTATTTCTCTGGCTTCCTTTCTGCTGCTGGCTCCTTTGCAGGGAAGACAAATACAGAATCTGAGCCCTCCAAACCCTAAACCCTAAACCCTAAACCCTAAGCTCTCGAAGGATCCCTCGAAAGACCCGCCGCCGCAGCAGCAGCAACAGCAGCAGCGGTTGCTGCTGCACCCGCCGCAGCAGAAGCCGCAGCTGCAGCAGCCGCAGCAGCAGCACCAGCGGCGGTCGCAGCAGCAAGAGCAGCAGCAGCAGCAGCAGCAGCAGCAGCAGCAGCAGCAGCAGCAGCAGCAGCAGCAGCAGCAGCAGCATGGCCGCCGCGAGGTGGATCTCGAGTGGCAGCAACTTCATTTGTCTTTTAAAAAACTTTTGGAAGCAAAAAGCATTTAAAATAGTACCCATTAACTCCCAAACTCTTCAATCTTTTCCTGCAAGGGGGGCCCCTTGGGGGCCCCTTGGGGGCCCCCTTGGGGGCCCCCTAGAGGGGCCCCTTGAGGGCCCCGTGGGGCCCCCTTAAGGTGCCCCTAGGGGTCTTCTGGGGGGCCCCTTGGGGGCCCCCATGAGGGGCCCCTTAAGGGGGCCCCCAAGGGGCCCCCCAGGGGGCCCCGTGGGGCTTTCTGGGGCCCCATGGGGGGCCCCCTAAAACCACGAAGACCCTTTTAAAGGGGCCCCTCGGGGGCCCCCCTGGGGGCCCCCCAACGGGGGCCCCCTTGGGGGGCTACTTAGGGGGCCCCTCGGGGGCCCCCTTGGGGGGCACCCCTTGGGGGGCCCCCCTTGGGGGGCCCCCCTTGGGGGGCCCCTTGGGGGCCCCTCAGAGCCCGAGAGGCCGCAAAATGCTTCTTTTGGAGTTTCTTAATTTAGTTTGAGTTTTCATTTATTTGGCATTTGCTTTATAGAAGAAAGAATTTAAAAACGACAAGGGTGCAGCAGCAGCAGCAGCAGCAGCAGCAGCTGCTGCAGCAGCAGCGTTGTAGCAGCAGCAGCAGCGCTGCAGCAGCTGCTCAGGAAGCATTTGGTCAAGATGAGGGCCCCAGCAGCAGCTGCTGCAGCTGCTGCAGCAGCTGCTGCAGCTGCTGCAGCAGCTGCTGCAGCTGCTGCTGCAGGGCAGCAGCGGTGCGCAGCTGCAGCAGCAGCTCTAGAAGCAAACTAAGCAGCAAAAAATTCTTTTAGTTCCCTTTTTGTCTTTATTTGTTTTAGGGAAAAAGAAAAGAAACTCTTCAAAAAGAAAGACGGAAAGCTAGCCATGGGGGCCTAGCGGTGGCTAGCTAGCGGTGGCTAGCTAGCTGCAGCTAGCTAGCTGCAGCCAGCTAGCTGTAGCTAGCTAGCTGTAGCGAGCTAGCTGTGGCTAGCGGGCTGTAGCTAGCTGTGGCTAGCTCGCCTTGGCTAGCTAGCTGTAGCTAGGTAGCCGTAACGAGCTGGCTGTAGCTAGCTAGCTGTGGCGAGCTAGCTGTGGCTAGCTAGCTGTGGCTAGCTAGCCAAAAGTAGTGAGAATGGCCGTAACTAGCTAGCTGCTGCTGCGAGCCGTAGCTAGCTCGCTGTAACTAGCTAGCCGTGGCTAGCTGCCCGTAGCTGCGGCCAGCTGCGGCTGTCTGCAGCTAGCAGCAGCAGCAACGAGCTGAGCTGCAGCAGCTAGCTGCAGCAGCTAGCTACAGTTAGCAGCAGCAGCTGCAGCTAGCTGCTGCAGCTAGCTGCTGCAGCTAGCTGTTGTGGCAAGAGCTCGAAGGGTCTTAAGGCTGCTGCCAGCTGATGTTTGTTTTTAAAAATATATTTAAAATTAAAAATAAAACTACAAATTTAATTATAATTTCAATAATAATTTTATTTACAATTATATAATTATATTTCTGCCCAAATCCGCGCTTTTTTGCTGCGCCGAAGCTGCTCAGTTGCTGCTGCAGCGCAGCAGCAGCAGCAGCAGCAGCGCAGCAGTGGCGGCCGCTGAAGGCCAGATGGCGGGGCCCCTAAAGCAGCATCAGCAGCAGCAACAGCAGCAGCAGCAGCAAGAGCAGCAACAACAGCAGCAGCAGCAAGGGCAGCAGCTGCCGCAGCATCAACCGCAGCAACAGCAGCAGCAACAGCTGCACCAGCAGGAGCAGCAGCAGCAACAGCCCCACTGAAGAGCACTTGAGTTTTCTTTTCAATTTTTAATTAATTTTGCTGCTGCTGATTCGACAAAGGGGGCTGCTGCTGCTGCTGCTGCTGCTGCTGCTGCTGCTGCTGTCTTGGGCCCCACCCAGAACAACCAACCACCACCGCAGCAACACCCTGATGCTGCGCTGCAGCAGCAGCCCCGCTGCAGCAGCAGCAGCAGCAGCTGCTGCTGCTGCTAGAGTTTGTTTAATAAATTTGTGTCTGACTAAATTGTCTACTCTTATGCTGCAGCTGTCTTGTGCGGCCCGTGAAGAGCGCCGCTGCTGCTGCTGTTGCTGCAGCAGCAACGGCCAGCAGCAGCAGCAGCAGCAGCAGCCGCAGCAGCAGCTACGCGGTGCTTTCCGGAGCTCTCTCTTGTCTTGAGCCCCCACAAATTATTTATAAATAAAGGGCTTTAGAGGGGCACTCAGCAGCAGCAGCAGCAGCAGCAGCCGCTGCTTGCGTGGGGGCATTGCTGCATGGTGGGCTGCGGCAGCAGCAGCAGCAGCAGCAACGGCAGCACAAAGGCAGCACCAGCTGCTGCTGCAGTAGGTACCACCTCGTTGCAGCTGCTGCAGCTGCAGCACCACGGAGGCCCCCCCCTGGGTTTAGGGTTTAGGGTTTAGGGTTTAGGGTTTGGCGGCTATGGCTTCTTCTCTGCGTTCCCCGACCCACCCTCGCGCGCCTCTCTCCTATTTTCAGCACCAGCAGCAGCAGCAGCCGCTGCAGCAGCAGCAGCAGCAGCAGCAGCAGCAGCACTTGTCTCTATCATCTTTCAAGCTCCAAACAGGGGCCCCGGGGGCCCCCAGTACCCTGGGGGCCCCCAGTACCCTGGGGCTCCCCAGTACCCTGGGGGCCCCCAGTACCTTGGGGGCCCCCAGTACCCTGGGGGCCCCCAGTACCCTAGGGGCCCCCAGTACCCTGGGGGCCCCCAGTACCCTGGGGGCCCCCGGGGCCCTGGGGGCCCCCAGTACCCTTGGGGGCCCCTCGAAAGTGGGTACACTGGGGGAGAAGCTGCAGATGTCTGTCTTGGGGGCCCCCAGGGGCCCCCGCGAGGCTTCCCACAGTACCCTATATGGGGCCCTTGAGGGTGGTGCAGCAGCAGCAGCAGCAGCAGCAGCAGCAGCAGTGCCTGCAGCAGCTTCTGCGCTCAACAACTGCAGCAGCAGCAGCAGCAGCAACAGCAACTACCGGTTCGCCTCGCACCCCAGCTCGTTTGCGTCCCCCCTGATTGGAACTGCAGCAGCAACTGCTGCAGCAGCAACAGCAGCAGCAGCAGCAGCAGAAGCAGCAAATGCTGCTTCCAGGACCCCATGGTCTCACACGGGCGCGCTGCTGAGCAGCACTCAGCAGCAACTGCAGCAGCTGCAGCAGCAGCAGCAGCAGCTTGAGCAGCAGCAGCAGCAGCTCCTCGCGGACTTCGACGACTCCTTCTCCAACCACTCGCAGCAGCAGCAGCAGCAGCTAGGAGCAGCAGCAGCAGCAGCAGCAGCAGCAGACTTGGGGGACCTGCAGAGCCACAGCGGGCGGCGCCGCCGCCACCGCCGCAGCAGCAGAGCTTCGCCCGCCACGGCCTTTGAGCAGGAGCAGCAGCAGCTGCACGAGCAGCAGCAGCAGCAGCAGCAGCAGCAGCAGCAGCAGCAGCAGCAGTATCTGCATGCGCTGGGGGCTTCGGGGGGCCCCACAGGGCTGCGCCGCATGCAGGGGGAGCTGCCGCTGCAGCTGAGGGGCCCCCTGGGCTCGGGGGGCCCCCCGGGGGCCCCCAGCCAGGCTGAGGGCCCCGAGGGTTTGCTGCTGCAGCTCAGCAGCAAACAGGGTACTGCAGCAGAAAGGGGCTGGTCGCTGCAGCGCTCGAGGGGCCCCCGGGGGCCCCCCGGGGCTGAGCGGCTGCGCAGCAGCAGCGCCATTGGCATTCGAGAACCTGCTGCTGCTGCTGCTGCTGCAGCAGGACTTGGGGCCCCGCTGCTGCAGCAGCGGCTGCAGCTGAGGGGCGCAGGGACCGCTGCTGCTGCTGCAGCAGACGACTACGCCCCGGCGCTGCAGCAGCAAACCACCAGCAGCAGCAGCAGCAGCAGCAGCAGCAGCGCGCTCCGGCAAGCTTCAGCAGGCCCGAGGGAAAACAGCGTTTGTGTCTGCAGTGTACGTACAACCCCGCGCTGCAGCAGCAGCAGAACAGCCCCTCAAGCAGCAGCAGCAGCAGCAGCAGCAGCAGCAGCAGCAGCAGCAGCAGCAGCAAATGTGCGTGTGTGCTCAGGCTGCGCCGTTTATGGCCCGGCAGCGGGCGCAGTACGAGCAGCTGCTGAAGCGGCTGGAAGCAGAGCGGCAGCAGCAGCAGCAGCAGCGGCAGAAGCAGCACGCGCGGGAGCTGCAGCAGCACCAGGAGAAGCTGCAGCTGCAGCAGCAGCAGCACGAGCTGCAGCAGCAGCAGCAGGAGCTGCAGCAGAAGCAGCAGGAGCTGCTGCTGGTGGAGCGGAAGTTCAGCGAGCAGCGGGAGAGCATCGAGCGGCGGCTGGCGGCGGAGCAGCAGGAACTGCAGCAGCAGCAGCTGCTGCTGCAGCAGCAGCAGCAAGACTTCGCCCACAAAAAAGAAAACTGGTGCGCAGCAGCAGAACTCAACCGCAAAGAAGCTCATAAAGCCCAGGAGGTTCTTCGAAAAGAACAAAAAGAAAATGAACAAAAAAGAAGACAACTGGATGAGAAGCAGCTGCAGCTCATCCAGAAGCAGGAGGCCCTGGACGTGAGCTGCTGCTGCTGCTGCTGCTGCTGCTGCTGCTGCTGCTGCTGAGGCTGCTGCTGCGGGTGGTGCTGCGGCTGCTGCTGCTGCTGCTGCTGCTGAGGCTGCTGCTGCGGGTGGTGCTGCGGCTGTTGCTGTGGGCGGTGCTGCGGCTGCTGCTGTGGGTGGTGCTGCGGCTGCTGCTGCGGCTGCTGCTGTGGCTGGTGTTGTGGCTGGTGCTGCTGTGGCTGCTGCTGCTGCTGCTGTGGCTGCTGCAGCTGCTGCTGTGGCTGCTGCTGCTGCGGCTGCTGCTGCGGGTGCCGCTAGAGATCGGCTGGATGGGCTTGCTGCTGAGGGCGTCATGGGGGCTGCTGCTGCAGGCGCTCCTGCCGCACTGTTCGCTGCTGCTGCTGCTGCTGCTGCTGCTGCTGCTGCTGCTGCTGCAGTGTGGTGTTCACTTTGGGTGTATGTACACCTCAGGCTGACCGCTACCAGCTAAATGAAGAAAAGCTGCAGCTGCAGGAGCAGCAGTTTTCTTTGGACGCAACAATGCAGCAGCTGCGCACAGAGACGCAGGAGCTGGAGCAGCAGCAGCAGCAGCTGCAGCAGCAGCAGCAGCTGCTGCAGCAGCGGGAGCAGCAGCTGATGCAGCGAGAGCTCGAACTGCAGCAGCAAGAAGCAGAGACAAACAACCTCCGGGCGCAGCTGCAGCAGCAAGAGGCGAGGCTCCAGGCGAGGGAAGACAGCCTACGGCGGCAGCAGCAGCAGCAGCAGCAGCAAGAAGCAGAGCTGCAGCAGCAGCAGCAGCAGCTTCAGCAGCGAGAGGCCGAGCTGCAGCAGCAGCAAGATCAGTTCCAAAGGCAACAGGAAATACAACAGCAAGAACTGCAGCAGCAGTATGCGAATCTGGAGCACGAGCAGCAGATGCTACAGCAGGAGCAGCAGCTCCTGCAGCAGCAACAGCAGCAGCTGCAGCATGAACAGCAGCAGCTGCAGCAGCAGCAGCAGCAGCTGCAGCAGCAGCAGGAAAGTGTCAAGACGAAACAGCAGGAGCTGACGAGGGCTTTGGAGGAGGCTGCAGCAAGACAGGTGCCACCGATTGTCCCGCTGCTGCTGCTGCTGCTGCTGCTGCTGCTGCTGCTGGCGCTGACTGTGTTGCAGCAAACTCTGCATAGCAGATTTTGTTCGTTTGCAACTAGCTTGCTGCTGCTGTGTCTGCTGCTGCTGCTGCGCTGCAGAGAGAGGCGGAAGCAGCGAAGAGAGAGTGCAGCGCTGAGCAGCAGCAGCTGCAGCAGCAGCGGGAGGAGCTGCAGCAGCGCGAACGTGAGGTGGAGGCGAAGGAGCAGCAGCTGCAGCAGCAGCAGGAGGAGGTGGAGCGGCAGCAGCAGCAGCTGGTGCTGCAGCAGCAGCAGGCGCAGCAGCAGCTGGAGGAGGAGCTGGGGGAGCGGCGGGAAGCGCTGGAGAAGGCGTTTGCAGAGCGGCAGCAGCAGCTGGAGGAGGAGCAGCAGCAGCAGCTGCTGCAGCAGCAGCAGCAGCTGTTCGCGGAGCTGCAGGAGGAGCGGCAGGCGCTGCAGCAGCAGCTGGACAGCCAGCTGCAGCGGCTGCAGGAGCAGCAGGAGGCTGCAGGGCGGGAGCGGCAGGAGCTGCAGCAGCAGCGGGTGCAGCAGGCGCTGAAGCAGCAGGAGCTGCAGCAGCAGCAGCAGCAGCTGCAGCAGGCGGCGGAGCGGCTGCAGCAAGAGGAGCGGGAGCTGGCAGCAGCGCAGCAGCAGCTGGCGGCGCAGCGGGAGGAGCTGGAGCAGCTGGAGCAGCAGGCGCAGCAGGAACTGCAGCAGGGGCAGCAGCAGCAGCAAGAAGCCCTGGAGGCGCTGCAGCAGCTGCAGCAAACCCAAGAAGACATCAGCAGCCAGCAGCTGCAGCTGCAGATGGCGCAGCAATCTCTTCTTGCAGACAGAGAAGCTTTTACCCACGAAGCACTTCGTGCTGCTGCTGGCCGCAGGGCCCGCGAGCAGCAGCTGCAGCAGCGGGAAGAGCTGCTGCAGCGGCAGCAGCAGCAGCTGCGCGCGGAGAAAGCTGCTGTTGAGACGCTGCAGCGCATCACGCAGCTCAGGGCCGGAGAAGCAGCAGCAAAAATGAAGCGTTTGCCGCTTTCCGCCGACATTGCTGCTGCTGCTGCTGCTCCCGCTGCTGCTGCTGCTGCTGCTGCTGCTGCTGCTGCCCCGCCGCTGCAGCAAGGCGCAGCAGCAGCGGCGGACACCAGCAGCAAGGCCGCCAAGGGCCCGCACGGCAACCCGCCGAGAGGCAGCAGCAGCAGCAGCAGCGGCAGCAGCAGCACCCGCAGCGGATCCGTCGGCGGCAGCAGCAGCAGACGCGGCAGCAGCGCCGAGGCCCGCGCACGACGAATTGCTGCTGCTGCTGCTGCTGCTGCTGCTGGCACCGCAGCAAACCCCGCAGCAGGAACTGCCCCCGTCTCCGGTACGTCTCAAGGCCTGCCGCTGCTGCAGCTGCTGCAGCTGCAGCTGCAGCAGCAGCAACATCGCTCAACAGCAGCAGAAACAGACCGCACTGTGCTTTTAAGACAAATAGGCATACTGCTGCTGCTGCTGCTGCTGCTGCTGCTGCTAGTGCGGATGATTTTGCCGGCTGCCCATTGTGCATGCTTGCAGCTTCTTCTGCTGCGCAGCAACGAAGGGCAGCAGCAGCAGCAGCAGCAGCAGCAGCAGGAGATGCAGCAGGAGCAGCAGGAGATCATGCTTCGCTTCCTGCAAATGACAGCAGCAGCTCAGGGGCGAGAGGCCGTGGGCTGCGTTCTGCTGCAGGAGTTGTAGCAGCCCGGCCAGCCCCGAATAGCAGCAGCAGCAGCAGCAGCAGCAGCAGCAGCAGCAGCAGCAGCAGCAGCAGCAAAGCGCCCTTCGTGCACCACTCGCCCTTCCTAGACGAATGGCCTTTGCAAGACCTCGACGCAGCAACAGGCGCTTTGCGCGAGGCGGCTTCCGGAGCAGCAGCAACAGCAGCAGCAGCAGCAGCAGCAACAACAGCAGCAACAACAGCAGCAGCAACAGCAGCTGGGTCCCCCATATCCGGCGGCCTCAGCCCGGCAGACACTTCACCCCCTTCGAGTGCAGCAGCAGCAAACGGTATGACTTCTAGTTTTGTTGCTGCTGCTGCTGCTGCTGCCGCTACTGCTACAGCAGCAACAGTAGCAACAGCAGCAGCAACCGCAGCAGCAGCAACAGCAGCAGCAGCAGCAACGGCCTGTCTCAGTTATTTTCACATGCCCTGTTTCTTGTAAAGCTGCCATTAATGCTGCCTCAATGAGTGTCCAGGCAGCAAATATGTGACCATCTCTGTTGCTGCTGCTGCTGTTGCTGCTGCTGCTGCTGCTGCTGCTGCAGGCGGGCCTGTACGGAATGCTGCTGCAGTTGGAGCCACAGGGAGAACCCTAGGGGCCCCTCAAAGCGCCCTCAGCCTGCCGCGGCCGTCAGCGTCTTTGCTGCAGCAGCAGCAGCAGCAGCAGCAGCAGCAGCTGTACAGGCCGCACTCGAGCTCCCTGTCCCTTGCAGAACGCCAAAGGCAGCAGCAGCAGCAGCAGCAGCAGCAGCAAGGCCTCAGCGGGGGGCTCCTAGGG